CGATCTTCCCGCTCGAAATCCATGTTGGCCTGGGTTGTGAAGGTCATTGGTCTCCATGAAATTGGTGACCTGACTCCTAATCACTCTCTCAAATACTTTTATGATGTGCGATGTTAGTGCAACTGGTATCTCCCCCGTGTCCAAGCTCTTCCTCCACACTATACTGAGTGCCTGTGATACTGGCACTTTGCATTTCTTTATAAATATTGAATTCCACGAATCTGGACCTGGGGCCGAGTGCATGGGCATGTTTTAAATTTCTCTTTCAAAATTTAGTGCGCTCGTGTTGATATCAGTTATATTTACAGGGGTTTGAATATCCCGCATAAAGAAATTGTCTGGATCTTCCACCTTCATGTTGTTTATTGGAGTGCTAAACATGTCCTCATACTGCTTTTTTAGGATTTCACTAATTTCTTTGTCATCCTCCGTGTATGAACCTTCACTTGTACGAATAGGTCCAATACTGGCAGTGGTTTTTGCTTTTGATTTCGCATATGAGAAGAAATATTTTGGATTTTTCTTTATTTCCTGAATTGCTTTCTGCATCCCTCCTGCTTCCCTTCCTGCTACCCCTCTTGCTACCCCTCCTGCTACCCCTCTTGCTACTCCTCCTTCTATCCCTACTGCTACCCCTCCTGCTACCCCTCTTGCTACTCCTGCTATCCCTACTGCTACCCCTCTTGCTACTCCTCCTGCTACTCCTCCTGCTATCCCTACTGCTACACCACCTGCTACCCCTCTTGCTACTCCTCCTGCTATCCCTACTGCTACACCACCTGCTACCCCTCCTGCTATCCCTACTGCTACCCCTCTTGCTACCCCTCCTGCTATCCCTACTGCTACCCGTCCCTCACAATATACATGGAGATGATTGCGTCTGGCTCACTGATGGATCACGCGACCATACAGAGACCACTCGCTGTCCGGAATCCTAAGGTGGCTTCTTCATCTTATAGAGCACTGTGTCTGGCGTGTGTCTGTGTCTGGCGTGTGTCTGTGTCTGGTGTGTGTCTGTGTCTGGCGTGTGTCTGTGTCTGGCGTGTGTCTGTGTCTGGCGTGTGTCTGTGTCTGGCGTGTGTCTGTGTCTGGCGTGTGTCTGTGTCTGGTGTGTGTCTGTGTCTGGTGTGTGTCTGTGTCTGGTGTGTGTCTGTGTCTGGTGTGTGTCTGTGTCTGGCGTGTGTCTGTGTCTGGTGTGTGTCTGTGTCTGGCGTGTCTGTGTCTGGTGTGTGTCTGTGTCTGGCGTGTGTCTGTGTCTGGTGTGTGTCTGTGTCTGGTGTGTGTCTGTGTCTGGTGTGTGTCTGTGTCTGGCGTGTGTCTGTGTCTGGTGTGTGTCTGTGTCTGGTGTGTGTCTGTGTCTGTGTGTCTGTGTCTGGTGTGTGTCTGTGTCTGGTGTGTGTCTGTGTCTGGTGTGTGTCTGTGTCTGGCGTGTGTCTGTGTCTGGCGTGTGTCTGTGTCTGGCGTGTGTCTGTGTCTGGCGTGTGTCTGTGTCTGGCGTGTGTCTGTGTCTGGCGTGTGTCTGTGTCTGGCGTGTGTCTGTGTCTGGCGTGTGTCTGTGTCTGGCGTGTGTCTGTGTCTGGCGTGTGTCTGTGTCTGGCGTGTGTCTGTGTCTGGCGTGTGTCTGTGTCTGGCGTGTGTCTGTGTCTGGCGTGTGTCTGTGTCTGGCGTGTGTCTGTGTCTGGCGTGTGTCTGTGTCTGGCGTGTGTCTGTGTCTGGCGTGTGTCTGTGTCTGGCGTGTGTCTGTGTCTGGTGTGTGTCTGTGTCTGGTGTGTGTCTGTGTCTGGTGTGTGTCTGTGTCTGGTGTGTGTCTGTGTCTGGCGTGTGTCTGTGTCTGGTGTGTGTCTGTGTCTGGCGTGTCTGTGTCTGGTGTGTGTCTGTGTCTGGCGTGTGTCTGTGTCTGGTGTGTGTCTGTGTCTGGTGTGTGTCTGTGTCTGGTGTGTGTCTGTGTCTGGCGTGTGTCTGTGTCTGGTGTGTGTCTGTGTCTGGTGTGTGTCTGTGTCTGGCGTGTGTCTGTGTCTGGTGTGTGTCTGTGTCTGGCGTGTGTCTGTGTCTGGTGTGTGTCTGTGTCTGGCGTGTGTCTGTGTCTGGCGTGTGTCTGTGTCTGGCGTGTGTCTGTGTCTGGCGTGTGTCTGTGTCTGGCGTGTGTCTGTGTCTGGCGTGTGTCTGTGTCTGGCGTGTGTCTGTGTCTGGCGTGTGTCTGTGTCTGGCGTGTGTCTGTGTCTGGCGTGTGTCTGTGTCTGGCGTGTGTCTGTGTCTGGCGTGTGTCTGTGTCTGGTGTGTGTCTGTGTCTGGCGTGTGTCTGTGTCTGGCGTGTGTCTGTGTCTGGCGTGTGTCTGTGTCTGGTGTGTGTCTGTGTCTGGCGTGTGTCTGTGTCTGGTGTGTGTCTGTGTCTGGCGTGTGTCTGTGTCTGGTGTGTGTCTGTGTCTGGCGTGTGTCTGTGTCTGGCGTGTGTCTGTGTCTGGCGTGTGTCTGTGTCTGGTGTGTGTCTGTGTCTGGCGTGTGTCTGTGTCTGGTGTGTGTCTGTGTCTGGCGTGTCTGTGCCCCCAGTCGCCAGCAGGAGGAGGTAGGGGTAACGAGCACAGATAACCTGACGTACAAGTGGAAATTAAGTCGGAGTAGGAATTCATTGTAAATAGAGTACCCCCAGGGTCCTCTCCTGGGGCCCCTGTTGTAAGTGGAGCGCCCCGGTGTCCTGGGCGTATGTTCTTCACGCAATATATATATATATATATATATATATATATATATATATATATATATATATATATATATATATATATAAACAATTAAATATTAACAAAATATATAAAACAATTCAGACTTAGGATTGAACGGCCACATTTGCAAATTCTCACATCTTACAATAATAGTGCGGGAGATGTATTCAGACGATGACACACAGTCAATACAAGCCGATCAATACAAGCCGATCAATACAAGCCGATCAATACAAGTCGATCAATACAAGCCGATCAACACAAGCCGATCAACACAAGCCGATCAATACAAGCCGATCAATACAAGCCGATCAATACAAGCCGATCAATACAAGCCGATCAAAACAAGCCGATCAAAACAAGCCGATCAATACAAACCGATCAATACAAGCCGATCAACACAAGCCGATCAATACAAGCCGATCAACACAAGCCGATCAATACAAGCCGATCAATACAAGCCGATCAAAACAAGCCGATCAATACAAGCCGATCAATACAAGCCGATCAATACAAGCCGATCAACACAAGCCGATCAATACAAGTCGATCAATACAAGCCGATCAATACAAGCCGATCAATACAAGCCGATCAAAACAAGCCGACCAATACAAGCCGATCAAAACAAGCCGACCAATACAAGCCGATCAAAACAAGCCGACCAATACAAGCCGATCAATACAAGCCGACCAATACAAGCCGATCAGTACAAGCCGATCAATACAAGCCGATCAATACAAGCCGATCAATACAAGCTGATCAATACAAGCTGATCAATACAAGAAGATCAATACAAGCTGATCAATACAAGCCGATCAATACAAGCTGATCAATACAAGCTGATCAATACAAGCTGATCTAGACAAGCTACAACGTGGACATAATATTGACCAGTGCAGCACAGTGATGAAAGATGTCGGGACTTTACCATAGCAATAATACTAACAGTTGCCATATACCAGGTGGATAATGCTGACACTGTCAAGTCTGACTGTGAGCAAGACCTAGAAGTCTTAAGTCAAACAATTACAAAGCATGAATAGGCGAATTAAGAGGCACCGAAGACCGGTATTTCAAGACGCCTCAGCATCAAGACGTGACGCCTCAGCATCAAGACGTGACGTCTCAGCATCAAGACGTGACGCCTCAGCATCAAGACGTGACGCCTCAGCATCAAGACGTGACGCCTCAGCATCAAGACGTGACGCCTCAGCATCAAGACGTGACGCCTCAGCATCAACACGTGACGCCTCACCATCAAGACGTGACGCTTCAGCATCAAGACGTGACACTTCAGCATCAAGACGTGACGCCTCAGCATCAAGACGTGACGCCTCAGCATCAAGACGTGTCGCCTCAGCATCAAGACGTGACGCCTCAGCATCAAGACGTGACGCCTCAGCATCAAGACGTGACGCCTCAGCATCAAGACGTGTCGCCTCAGCATCAAGACGTGACGCCTCAGCATCAAGACGTGACGCCTCAGCATCAAGACGTGACGCCTCAGCATCAAGACATGACGCCTCAGCATCAAGACGTGTCGCCTCAGCATCAAGACATGACGCCTCAGCATCAAGACGTGTCGCCTCAGCATCAAGACGTGACGCCTCAGCATCAAGACGTGACGCCTCAGCATCAAGACGTGACGCCTCAGCATCAAGACGTGACGCCTCAGCATCAAGACGTGACGCCTCAGCATCAAGACGTGACGCCTCAGCATTAAGACGTGACGCCTCAGCATCAAGACGTGTCGCCTCAGCATCAAGACGTGACGCCTCAGCATCAAGACGTGACGCCTCAGCATCAAGACGTGACGCCTCAGCATCAAGACGTGACGCCTCAGCATCAAGACGTGACGCCTCAGCATCAAGACGTGACGCCTCAGCATCAAGACGTGACGCCTCAGCATCAAGACGTGACGCCTCAGCATCAAGACGTGACGCCTCAGCATCAAGACGTGACGCCTCAGCATCAAGACGTGTCATCATCTTCAGCTCCATCTTGGCCTTCTTGGGCCACGTTAACATTATGCTACTGAATTTTAGTCTTTTTTTATTTACATTTATAAAATGCAAATTAATCCATTTAAAAACAAAGAAGGATAAATTTAATCCCAGGAATTTAAACCTTCCTTAAGAAGAGGTTAAGAAAGGTTAATTGAAATTCTTAAGAGAGACGAAGATAGAGTGACTTGATTGAAGTATATAAATGTATAAAATGTGTATAACAAAGCGATATAAACATGATGTTAACTATAGCAACTCAAACACACAAATCAAAACAATGGCGACAATCTGGAAATGTTTGGATTCAAGAAAGCCCTGGGTAAATACCGGTTTGGTAGCAGGGTTGATGATTTATGGAACAAAATGACTCTGTAACATACAGACGTGGGATAACTTGGTTGTTTCGAGCGTAGGCTAGACATTATATATATATTAGTATATTTTGGTAGCAATCTTGTGAACATATGTTGTTGAATATGACCGAAAGGGTTAGATTAATAATTCTAACACGAATCTTCTCAATATTTCTTACGTTTTTCTTCACTGTCGAGGGTAATTGAAAAATGAACTCTCCAAAATTCATTCTTTTACATATTTATTTTTGGTCTGACGCCTAGAAGCCTTACGAAATTTCCTTAATTACCATCTTGTGTTGTCACGTTGGAGAAATCAATTAAAAAAAAGAAGTCATTTTTGGTTGTATGTTGTAGAGAGTAACCTTGAAATTGTGCCCCTGTCAGCTGACGGTCAGGTGATGTGAGGCTGACTGTCCCAACCTTACACACACATATGGCACATAATAGTCCAGACTTATACATACACAACTCGTACTAAGCAAGCTAGAAAAGCTTTAGTACATAATAATCTACAACATTACCTCAAGGGATGTAAAGGTTTCGTAAGATCAACCAAAAGAGGCCATACCACACTTGCATACATTGTTTCATAATGTAATACAATGCGGTACATACAAATATTTAATTCTAAACATGAAGATCTTGGGCCAGATTCACGAAAGCACTTACGCAAGCACTTACGAACGTGTACATCTTTCCTCAATCTTTGACGGCTTTGGTTACATTTATTAAACAGTTTACAAGCATGATAACTTCCCATTCAACTGTTGTTATTGTTATAAACAGCCTCCTGGTGCTTCGGAGCTCATTAACTGTTTAATAATTGGAAACAAAGCCGCCAAAGATTGAGAAAAGATGTACAGGTTCGTAAGTGCTTTCGTAAGTGCTTGCGTAAGTGCTTTCGTGAATCTGGCCCCTTGACGCAACTTGCATTTCTTCTCTCTTCAGGAATATCAATAGATTGCATCAAAAGATGATCTCAAACATTGCCTTAAATAGACGATGCCGCAACAACCGCGAAATTGTACCTCAAACAATGACTACTTCTCTAACAAGACCGCTAACTACCATTCACAAGCTAACTACCATTCACAAGCTAACTACCATTCACAAGCTAACTACCATTCACAAGCTAACTACCATTCACAAGCTAACTACCATTCACAAGCTAACTACCATTCACAACCCCAGTGACCTTCACAATTCCCCAACAATCAAAATATAACTTACAAACAAATATTACAGACCACCACTCTGGCAACACTGCTCATCAGGGCTGTGTCAGAGTGTACACCTGTGTCAGTGTACACCTGTGTCAGTGTGTACACCTGTGTCAGTGTACACCTGTGTCAGTGTGTACACCTGTGTCAGTGTACACCTGTGTCAGTGTGTACACCTGTGTCAGTGTACACCTGTGTCAGAGTGTACACCTGTGTCAGTGTGTACACCTGTGTCAGTGTGTACACCTGTGTCAGTGTACACCTGTGTCAGTGTGTACACCTGTGTCAGTGTGTACACCTGTGTCAGTGTGTACACCTGTGTCAGTGTACACCTGTGTCAGTGTGTACACCTGTGTCAGTGTACACCTGTGTCAGAGTGTACACCTGTGTCAGTGTGTACACCTGTGTCAGTGTGTACACCTGTGTCAGAGTGTACACCTGTGTCAGAGTGTACACCTGTGTCAGATTGTACACCTGTGTCAGAGTGTACACCTGTGTCAGAGTGTACACCTGTGTCAGATTGTACACCTGTGTCAGAGTGTACACCTGTGTCAGAGTGTACACCTGTGTCAGATTGTACACCTGTGTCAGAGTGTACACCTGTGTCAGAGTGTACACCTGTGTCAGATTGTACACCTGTGTCAGATTGTACACCTGTGTCAGATTGTACACCTGTGTCAGATTGTACACCTGTGTCAACTTGTACACCTGTGTCAACTTGTACACCTGTGTCAGCTTGTACACCTGTGTCAGCTTGTACACCTGTGTCAGAGTGTACACCTGTGTCAGATTGTACACCTGTGTCAACTTGTACACCTGTGTCAGCTTGTACACCCGTGTCAGCTTGTACACCTGTGTCAGAGTGTACACCTGTGTCAGATTGTACACCTGTGTCAGATTGTACACATGTATCTTTTATACACCTGTGTCAGAGTGTACAGCTGTGTCAGCTTGTACACCTGTGTCAGATGGTACACGTGTGTCAGATTGTACACCTGTGTCATATTACCAGGCCGTGTTGCCCCCTTGCCTCTACTCACAGGTGTCCCACAGGTGCCCAACTGCGTGCCAGCTGACTCTAGGGGCAAGAGGAAACAGTTTACTTCAGGCTCCCAGTTTACTGCAGCTTCCAGTATCCTGCAGACTCTTAGTTCACTCCCAGCTCATTGCAGACCTCCAGTTCACTTCAAATTCCTAGTTCACTGTAGACTCCCAGTTTACTACAGACTTTCAGTTCACTGCAGAATCTCAGTTCAATGCAGACGTCGAATTCAATGCAACAACCCAGCTGACTGCAGCATCCCAGCTCACTGCAGCATCCCAGCTGACTGCAGCATCCCAGCTCACTGCAGCATCCCAGCTCACTGCAGCATCCCAGCTCACTGCAGCATCCCAGCTCACTGCAGCATCCCAGCTCACTGCAGCATCCCAGCTGACTGCAGCATCCCAGTTCACTGCAGCATCCCAGCTGACTGCAGCATCCCAGCTGACTGCAGCATCCCAGTTCACTGCAGCATCCCAGCTGACTGCAGCATCCCAGCTGACTGCAGCATCCCAGTTCACTGCAGCATCCCAGCTGACTGCAGCATCCCAGTTCACTGCAGCATCCCAGCTGACTGCAGCATCCCAGCTGACTGCAGCATCCCAGTTCACTGCAACATCCCAGCTGACTGCAGCATCCCAGTTCACTGCAGCATCCCAGCTGACTGCAGCATCCCAGCTGACTGCAGCATCCCAGTTCACCGCAGCATCCCAGCTGACTGCAGCATCCCAGTTCACTGCAGCATCCCAGCTGACTGCAGCATCCCAGCTGACTGCCGCATCCCAGCTGACTGCAACATCCCAGCTGACTGCAGCATCCCAGTTCACTGCAGCATCCCAGCTGACTGCAGCATCCCAGCTGACTGCAGCATCCCAGTTCACTGCAGCATCCCAGCTCACTGCAGCATCCCAGCTGACTGCAACAACCCAGCTCACTGCAGCATCCCAGCTGACTGCAGCATCCCAACTGACTGCAACAACCCAGCTCACTGCAGCATCCCAGCTGACTGCAGCATCCCAGCTGACTGCAGCATCCCAGCTGACTGCAACAACCCAGCTCACTGCAGCATCCCAGCTGACTGCAGCATCCCAGCTGACTGCAGCATCCCAGCTGACTGCAGCATCCCAGCTGACTGCAGCATCCCAGCTCACTGCAGCATCCCAGCTGACTGCAGCATCCCAGCTCACTGCAGTATCCCAGTTCACTGCAGCCTGCCCGGCTAAATACCGAGCCGCAGCTCATCTCAGCGAGCCGGAGCAGTGCCACCGAGGAACTGGAGGACCAACTCTGTGCCATCCAATGTTGCCTTGAGCCGCGGCATTCTTGTGCCAGCTGGCTGGCTGGCTGCTTGTAAACAAATCCCTGGTGGCCATGGCACCGGCTGTTGTTGCTGGTCAATAACACTCCCCATAGCAGCGGGCACTCAAGTGCTTAGAGAGCGCCAGGGTGTCGCAGTCTGGCTGAGTACACCCTGGGGGTGCAGGGGAGGAAGAGAGGGAGTGGCAGGTGTGATGGTGAGGGATGAAAAGAAGGCTGAGAGTGTGTGTTAAGTGTGTGGCAGCACAAAGCTCGGATGCACTTGACACAGACTGGAGAGTGAGGGACAACAAACATAAGTCAATAGGAGGTTTGTGGGTCATTGCCTGAGGGTGAGACAAGTGGAGCAAAGCTGTCATCACAAATATTTGATCACAATTGCTTATCAGTTTTTGGTATTTATATACACAAGAGTTCTTACAATCTCAGCCACCAGCACGCGTAGCCTTTACAGCACGTCCCTAAGCCTAATATTTCCCCTTGAATACGACCCGCCAAGTCGTTTAACAACCAGGTACCCATTTGCCGTTCGGTGAAAAAGAGGCGTACAGATAAGGATTGGTGCCCAGTCAATCCTCTCCATTTCTTAGTAACATCGTCATCAGCATTATACACTTCTGAATCTCCAGCAGGAGATTACAAGTAAATCTTTATTATTAATCAAATGAGCAGTGAAATAGATCATATTAACTAGCTGGTCATATTACCCGGTCGAGTGTGTGCTGGAATACACTTTTGCTGGAATAGAGGGAATACAGAGACCATATACGGCACACATAGACGAGATAAAACACCTAAATTATTGGGATCGTCTCAAAGCTCTCAAAATGTACTCACTAGAAAGGAGACGAGAGAGATACCAAATAATATACACCTGGAAAATACTGGGGGCCAAGTACCAAATCTACACAGTAAAATAACAACATACTGGAGTGAGCGATATGGAAGAAAATGCAGAATAGAACCAGTGAAGAGCAGAGGTGCCATAGGCACAATCAGAGAACACTGTATAAACATCAGAGGTCCACGGTTGTTCAACGTCCTCCCAGCGAGCATAAGAAATATTGCCGGAACAACCGTGGACATCTTCAAGAGGAAACTAGATTTATGCCTCCAAGGAGTGCCGGACCAACCGGGCTGTGGTGGGTATGTGGGCCTGCGGGCCGCTCCAAGCAACAGCCTGGTGGACCAAACTCTCACAAGTCAAGCCTGGCCTCGACTTGTGCTCTTTCTCTGAACACAACTCCCAGAAGCCCATCCAGGTACAATCCTTTCCATTATATGTTTTTCAAAGAAGACCTGATCAATGTAATCTGATTGAATGTGTACTACAACAGACGGG